TTGAAGGCTTGGATTTGTGTTTAAGGTTTTGAGAAAATGAGTGATGGTTTCAAAAAATGTGTTTTAGCAATTCAGAAAAACTGTAATTAAATACTTATATTATATATAATTATATTGTGTATTTATTTGTTTGAAATATTTTAAGTTTTAAATCTTTAATGGGAGTTCAAAGTAGTTTATATTAGACTATAATACATGTCCTTTCTTAATTTCCAGGGAGCGGAGCAACTTTTCCATAAACAAACTTCTGATGCTGACCCAGAGGATGTAGTGGTAGTACCAGAGATCCATTGCCCCCATCAGACAAGATTCTTACTTTGTTCAGACACATCACCTTTGAATGACTGGGATCTTGATCTTCAGACACCTGATATTATGCAAATATTTTAATTTTTTGGAGCTCTAGATTAAAACAAACACAGTTCACAAGTACACAAGAGGTTGCACTTTATTCGTATTAGTCTATGCTGATCTTGGATTAGCATACCAACAGCATATGATTAAGGGGATAGTTCACTTTACTCACTATAGATACTTTACTCACCCTCATGCTGTCCTAAATGCATATTACTTTCTTTCGACTGGACAGGTAAACACAAATTAAGATTTTTAGGCAAATAATCCATCTCTGTTGAGTCCTAAAGATGCTTTAAAAACCACACACAGCTACCGTGACAGTAATCCATCTGACCTTAATGGTTGAATCAGTATCTTTTGAAGTGAAACAACAGATAAGAAAAACACTAATAATTTAAACATTTGACTATTAACAATCACTTCCGATCAACTGTCATATGTGCATGGGTTACAATTCACTTGTGTTATGTGGATTCTCAGAGATGGATTATTTTCTTTAAAATCTTTGTGTTTATGTCAAGAAAGAAAGTCATATACATCTGGAATGGCATGAAGGTGAGTAAATTAGACAATTTTCAATTTTTGGGGTGGAATATTCCTGTAAAGACTGATATTGCACTCCATTACATAACATACTCATTCACTGTTTTGTAACTTATACTGTAACAGGAACTGTTGAAAGGATCATTGCAGTTTAAAACATATTATGAATTGTGAACATATTCTGTATATTATGTTCTTGTGCATTTTGTGTAGTAATGTAAATTATGAGAATACTGTGCATTACATGTATACTATGCAGTTAGTGTTTCGTGGATTCTGGTCTTTCCTGTCACAACATAATTGCATCCAAGACTTTCACTTTGATACTTCTGTATATGCTATAGTGACAATAAAGAATGTACATTTATTTGAACTAATTCATATTTTCATTTACATTCATTAAAACTGGTTTATAAAAGTCACACTTGAAAGAGATGATTGTTAAAATGTATTTCCAACTTTAAACATTAGATGATAATGTTAACTAAATAAAATAACTAAACAAAATTATCAGCATGATAAAAACAATTGGCTGCAAGAACATTCTTTGTGTGGAATATGTAATAAAATGAGCTTGATTGCCTGGTTGGAGAGAGACTTTCTTGACGTCTGAATATATCACACATATATGATAGTATTTCAAATGTAATGGCACAACCTAATTAGACCCTACAATACAAAAGAATCATGAGCAATAAACAAATATCCTACAAGAACATTGGACATTATACAATATTTCCAGTATTATATACAGTACTTTAATAATTAAACCTCAATATGACCTTCTTTTTCTCTCGCGTTTGATTCCTAGCGCTCCTAAAAGCTTATGTTGACAAAGTAGTAGCAACAGATAAATACAGATTGAATTCAAAAACAAAACTCCTAACTTTATATCACTAAAATGAAATTGGATGCCGCTAACAGACGCTCACATCCACACTGGCAAGGCAACATTGACGCCTTCACTTCCAGGTCAAGAAGCTGTCAATCAAAAACTCAGTAGCCAATGAGAACACACTGCTGCTAGCCCCGCCCCCACGAGAGATTTGTGTCAGAATGGCGAACAAAAACTTCAGAAGTGTAAATGAAAACTTCAGAAGCGTAAACAAAAACTTCAGAAGCGTAAACGAAAACTTTAGAAGCGTAAACGAAAACTTCAGAAGCGTAAACGAAATCTTTAGAAGTGTAAACGAAAACTTCAGAAGCGTAAACAAAAACTTCAGAAGCGTAAATGAAATCTTTAGAAGCGTAAACGAAAACTTCAGAAGCGTAAACAAAAACTTTAGAAGCGTAAACGAAAACTTCAGAAGTCAAAGATTTTGCCTGCATTAAATTTTTTTTCAGTTTCAAAGACATTTTATTCAGTTTCAATTTATATTTTCATAAGTTTCTTGAAAATTACATTAATTTTAATTGGCACAAAGGTAATCCCATACAAAAGTAGTATTAGAAATATGGTAGAATGCGAACCCATATGACATTATGAGTCGGCATAGAGGTTAAAGATCTAAGCAAGGTTCACTGTAGGCTGAAATCCCTCAAAGGGAGATCATGAACTATCGGCCGTAAGAAAGCCACGCAACCCGGGTTACTCCAGGAGGACTGTCTCTGTAATAAGATTGCTGGAAGTTACGTCAGATAAACGCATCAGCAAAGTGATTAAAAGGTATTTAATTGTAAGCCTTCCTTCCCAATGCAGCATTCCTGCCAAAGCCACAAGGGGGCGATTGTGTGAACTCATGCAATGTTCCCAAACACAAGAGAGCAGAGGGACCGAGAGAGAGAGATAGAGAGAGAGAGGCTGCTGGAATCACAATGGCATTGGACTCTGCCGCATAGCACACATGACTTTACCGCAGCATTACAGCTCTGCGCTTATGCAAGCATGCATCAGGGCTTTATATCTGATTCAGATATCTATTATGATACCCATGATACTTATAATAATGATTACATTATGATACTGTAGGAAGAATGGTCTTAAATATCTATACGTGTAATAGATAATAGAGGTCGACCACTAGCAGATTTTGCCTATTCTGATTACTAAAACCGCAAAATATGGTTGATAGCCTATTATAGTTAGTATCGTTTTTAAAATCAATAACGTGTGAAAACTTTTCACTTATATGTAAAACTAGCGCTAAACATTATTAGAAAATGAACAATGACTTATAACCATGAGAATATTTTGCAAGTATTAAAATAAATTCAAATACATACAAATAGCTAAGCTTCATCACCACTGACATTTTTATTTTATTGTCATGTGAAATATATAAATAATGTACTATTAGTGCAGAGAGAAAAAAAACGACATAAAATAAATAATAATAATAAATAATAATGGATTTTGTCGATATGGATAACTAAAATTGGAAAATGCGGCAGATGACCGATTAATTGCTAATAGATCTTATAATCAATAATATGAATGAAAATGTTCCAGCTTTTGTAAAAATGTGCTAAACTCAGAAGATAAACATAATGGCTAAACCATTAGCATATTTTGTAATTCTTAAAATAAATCACTAATGGCACTTTTATTATTCTTATTTTACTGTCATGTGAAATATATAAACGTACAAGTCATGGAGAGAGAGAAAAGGGACAGAAATAATTATGCTCTTTATCATTTAGTTGCATTTTATTCTTTGTATTTAGCATTTAATAACTACTAGCCTTATCACACAGACAATTTTTTTTGTAATATGTATTTTAATGGTATTTTTTATGACAAAAACGATCTTGTAGAAATCTTTGAGCTCCAAATGCATGTAATGGATATACTGGGTGGAAACCAAAGAAACTTGTTGAGAAAGTGTATCAGCTCGTGTAAATGAAGTGCAGGTCAACCAAAAATATCATTTACTGATATCTAAGATCACATCCAAACAAGCCAGAAACTAGACCAAACATAAAAATATGAATAATAATTTATATATATATAAACCTGATTCCATCAGCAAAATGTCAACTTGATCTCTGATCTAAGACAGACTGTATCAGCATCTGAAAATGGCTATTGGCATGTCATAACATTACAGACAGAAATGATACAAGCATCTGTTCAGGACGGCACTGATCACACCACAGACCTCACAAACCAATCCACTAGTGCACCATTTACATCCTGATCCAAAAATGTCTGCTTACAGCACAAATCCGGTTTCATTTTTTAACAAAACAGTGTTAATCACCATGCTAAAAGTTGAGTCAGCGCTGGCTCAAACAAGCCTGTTAACACAATACTAATGGGAAATGATCTGCATTAAAGTCAACCTTCTTCACATGACTCATCCTTTCTGTGTCTGGTTTCTCTAGAGACTGAATTTCACACTCAAATGATGCAGACTTACACCTGAAAAACTTCAAAATATCATTTGCACACATCTCTCCAGATCGAGACACAAACAGATTTACTGACTAAAATCATTTCAGGAAGCAGCTCATAAAGAAACAAAGCAGTGGCTTTATACATCAGTAGTTTCGAGTTACACGAATACAAATGAAGCCATTTTTCAAAGCTGGAAGCAGCACTACAGTACAGAACAGTAATACACTGTTTAACTGTTCAGTTACAGGCCAGCATCATCAAAACGAGGCTAGACAGTGTAATGCATTAATGTGTTTGTGAATGCTGCATGTGTTTCATTGGTGTTAATGGATCACTAAAGTGTGTAAATGTTCGGCATCATGTGTTTTTTGCTAATGTAAGTGTGTAATACTCCATGTACACTGGACAGCACTGAGAAAGCATGTGTGTGAGTGTGTGTACACACCTGGTGGGTATCCCGGGCTACCTGTCTGATAAAGGTTGGCTGTGTAGGTCGGGGCAGTCGTAGGGTAACCTCCTGCATAACCTGTACACATGCAAAGAGACAGCAGTTGAGAAATGACACTAAAACTTGTTGAAAATCAACATTAAATCAAAACTTCATACACATTTTTACCAATACATTTCCATTACTTTTCCATGACTTTTGAGACAATATTCATGACCTAAATCTTCCATTATTTTACAATAAGAATAAAAATCTGTTCAAACAATTTTCACGTCATAGCTCAGACGCGGGCCGGGCATCGGGCTTGCTTCCTCCTTATTTTTATATTTTAGATATCCATCAATTATTATGGTGATAAAAAAGATTTGCCGCGCTGGGGGAAACAACACGAGACCGTGCTACCGCGACTGTCAAGAGCGGCTCTGACAGTGTTTAGTGTCCCGCAGCAGCAGCGAGTGCTGGAAGAGTTCCACGTTAAAGCGCACGCAAAGCTTGCCGCAAAACCCCAGCAAGTAATTACCATGATGAATGCCCCAGGGGAAATAGAATATTCA